TCCAACGAGCGATCCAAGGCCAGGTGGGATCAGGCCTGGGGGCCCAGAGCAGGGTCACCCACACCTGGCAACACTCCGCACCCCCGGTGACCCCTCCCGGGCCCTCCACGTGGAACCAGGTGCGCTCAGCTTGGCGAAGCCCACGGCGTGGGGTGGGGCGGGCCGGTGCTCCCGGGGGCCAGGGTCTCCTGGTGGGCCCAAGCCCCGAGTCCCTTGCCTTGCGACCCTGGCTGGGGGTGACAGGTCCCGCTGCACGAGGGTCCTTTCCGCCTTCGAAAGCGCTTTGGGGGATCCCTGGGTGGCTCAGGGGATGCCTGGGTGGCTCAGCGGTTTAGCACCTGCCTTTGCCTGGGGCGTGATCCTGGAGTCCTAGGATCGAGTCCCATATCAGGCTTTCTGCATGGAGCCTGCTTCTCCCTCTGCCTGTGTTTCTCTGACTATCTTTCTCTGTGTGTGTGTGTCTTTCATGAATAAATAAAATCTTAAAAAAAAAAAGCCCCAAAGCACTTTGACACATGTTTTCTCTTTTGAAGTTCAAACGAGGAAGGGAACTAGCACCCCACGTATGAACGTGGAGAGACTCCGAGTAGGCTGCGACCTCAAGCTGTGGCTGCTGTGTCCACTGTACGGGCCACCTCCATGGTGCCAGGCCCTGGGCCGAGTGCTGGACACACTTTGTCCACTTAAGCATCCCAGCCCTTCTCTGGGGGTGACCCTACGGTAGAGCCCACTTTACAGATGAGGTGCCGAAGTCGCTCCCGCAGGTCGCAGAGCTCGCTGGGGGACGGAGCTGGCGCCGCGCAGCCCAGGGCGCTGGTTCTTCCCGCTGGACTCCACGGCCTCTGCGGGGGTCACAGCAGCTCCTCCCGCAGGAGCTCAAGACTGTCCCACTGCGGGGCGGGGCCAATTAGGACCGTCTGCATCATCACCTCCCTCCTGGGCGGGGAGCAGGGGACTGGGCTTACCGGTCCCCCTGAAGCTGAAATTCAAGGAAATAGTTGCGCTGCCGCAAGAGGGACTGGGTGTAGTTCCAAGTGGAACTGCCCGTTGCAAGAAATAGACCAGAGATGCCTGGGATTTAGGGGAGAGGGGATTTAAGGGAGGGACCGTGGGGCGGCTACTCCAGCCTCGCGATGTGGGGCAAGAGTCCTGTCTGGCCCAGGTCTCACCCAGGTGGGTCTTCCTGCGCAGAAAAGGTTGCCCCGGGAGTCTGAGGCATAAATGCTGATGCGGGAGCACAGACACGGTCGTGGTCCAGGTGCCCGTTCTGGGTGCCATCGCCATCCAGGGCGCCCCAGGACCGGAGTGAGGGGGTGGGGCTCCGCGTGCACTTGCAGGTGCCAGGAGCTCCTCCATTCCCCGCCCCAGCTGGGCTGCCCCTCCCTTTGCCCATCAGCCGCCCACCCCCGGGGGAATATGCAGGGCAACTGCCACCTCGCTGTCCCCCCATCTGCGACCCGACGGGTCTCCCTCCTCTCCAGCCGCTCTCAGCCCAAAAAGGGCCACCTCTACTGGGAAGGCAAGGACGAAGGCAATAGCCAGCGTTTACTGTGCCCTTCACTGGCTGCCTCCTGCGGCGCTGAACATTCTACACACATTTACTTACAACTCAAAAGAAGAAAGGGGGTGTTGCTGTTGTCTTCATTTTACAGACGAACACACAGGAATTAAAGTGAATGGTCCGAGGTTCTAGCTCTCCTTCACCTTCCTCCTGCCCCCCCTCAGTCAATCATCCTTGCTCCCAGGATCCACCCCCACTTTCTAGAATAGAGTTGAACACCAGCCTCCCCCACCCCCACTGTCCCAGGCTCTGGGTCGGAGGTCACAGGGAAGGAAGAACCTCCACCGCCCCCCCTGCAACCCTTCACTCCCCACCCCCAGCTTGGCCCTCTGGGGATTGGACTCCAAACAGCTCCAACTGGTCCTGGCTCCCGAGCCTCCTGCCTCCATCTGGGCACTCCCCGGCCCCCCATCTCCAAGTCTGTGCCTGGTACACAGGGATCACAGTTGGCACCAGGCTGCTCGGGGGCTAAGAGATCCTCAGCAAGACAGGAAACTCTACCCCCACCCTGGCCTCAGCCAGAGCCCTGGAAGCCCACCCAGCTCCCCTTCCTTATCCTGGGGGCAGGTTTCTTGCCGGGGCTCCTCCCAGTTGCCCAGGAGGCCTGCCAGATTTGGCTGGCGGCAGGGAAGAACAGCTCTGCGTGGCCTGGGAAGGGCAGTGGGAGGAGGAAAAGGGAAGGAGAGGGAGGAAGGAGGTGCCAGCTCTGCATTCCCCTCCTACGGGCAGCCCCAGGCTTCTCAGCTGGAAAAGCAGGGAGAACCTGGAAAGGGCCTGTGAGGGGCTGGACACTCCCCCACACCCCCTGCCTCCCCAGACTGCATTAGGGGATGAGGGGGAGGGATGGTTCAAGGGAGGGGAGTGCCAAGGGCCGAGAGCCTCGGGGCTGTTTCAAGGCTCTGCAACCTTGGGCAAACACCTGCCCCCTCTGGACCTCAGCTTCTCTATCTTAGTCTGTTTGGGCTGCTATAACAAATACCACAGACTGGGTGGCTTATAAACAACAGAGATTTGTTTCTTGCGGCTCTGAAGGCAGGAAGTCCACGATCAAGGTGCCAGCAGGGTCCTTGAGGACCTGGCTTACAGCCTGCACTTTCTGTGTCTTCATTGGGTAGACCGGCTACAGAGCTCTGGGGGGTCTCTTTCATAAAAGAACTAATCCCAGGCTTGAGGCTTGGTTCTCAAGAGCTAATCACCTCCCAAAGGCCCCTAATACCAGGGCATTAGGGATTCAGATTTCAAAGGATAAATTTGGGGGGGGGTGGACACAAGTTGGTCCAAGGCACTCCCCGTCTGTAGAGAAGGGGGTGGGACTCCTTGAGAGCCTGTTTGGGGAAGGAAGGGGGGCTGCTAAGTCCTGACTCAAGGAAGATCAGGAGCAGGGCTGGGCCATAGCACAACCCACCCCCACCCTCACCTCAGGAGAAGATGGTCCCTCCTCCTATGGGCCTCCCTTGTGACACTTCACTGAAGCAGCCTCTGTCTCCAAGTCCTGAGAGGGGAGCTTTATCTGGAACCTAGACCCTGTCCCTGGACAACACACCAGGACTTGCTGCATAATTTGTGGTGTCCACGTTCCAAGATGGCAACTGCAGAGCATTAAACCAGGTGGGAAGGCCCCTCTGAGTGTGGGACCCTGGGGACTGCCCACGTGGCAGGCCCACGAAGCTGGCCTGAATCCACACATGTGTGTCTACACACCCCTCTCACTCTCCCTGTGACCCTACCCAGAGAGCACCCTGCAGGCACGGCCACCAGCTGTTATGATGCTTCCTTCCTCTCTCGGCTTCCCAGTTCTACACTGCCTTGGAGGCCCCTGGACAAGCAGCCTACTAAGTACTGAAGTGGCACAGGGGCAGGTCTTGCAGGGGCTGAGAACATGCTGCTGCGATGGCGGGTGGCTGGGCTCCAAGTCCCACCACCCTTCCCACCTTGTCCTTACACAGGCAAACACAGGGTTTGTTCACCACCTGGTTTGGGGTGAAGGAGGGTGGCAGGGTGATTCCCTGACTGAAGCAGGGCTAACCAGGAGAAAACTGGCCTGCTGGTGCAGAGCTGGTGCCCAAGGAGGATGCAGAAGGACACAGAAGCAGCTTCCTTTCTAGGGGAGCTTCGAGCCCAGAGATAACCGGCTGGACGTGGGGTAGCCGGTGCTCACAACACAGATAACCTATAGCTACGGGGTCACACTCAAGCACAGAGGCTACCTTCACTGGGTCTCACTCCCAAACTTTGCTGTCGCCTGCTAGGGTAAGGTCTACTGGAGCTAAGAACAGAGAAGAATGGACTGAACCTGCTGCCCAGAAACAGAGCTGACGCCTCCAGTGGGAGGGTCTATGGCCCAGGAGCCGTAGCCAGTCTACCAGCTGTGCCACTGAGAGGCATGGGGTCCTGCCCAGGGACATTCCTAGTCTGGGGTATGGGATGAGCTCAGGTCTCGGCTCTGAAGCAGAGCTGGGGGGGGGGGTAAGAAGGTGCTCAAATCAGTCCTTTGGGCCCTGGAAGGGGTGACAAAACTTCAGGTGGAGCCCAGGGTGGCAGACGTGGTAAATGCCATGCAGGCAAACAGTGTGCCCAGGAGTGTGAGCCAGAGTGGGTATACAGGAACTTCCTGTGTGTGCCAGCAGGAGGTGTGCATACGTGTGAAGGGCAACGTTTTAGAACAAATGCTAGTATGTGATCGTGCATGTTGAGTATGGGGTGTACAGAGCCCAGTGCTGCCTTCACAAGAGGGGGCTCCAAGGATCAGCTGGCTTTTGGGGCCACATGGCTGGCCCTTCCAGTTGGCTCAGACTCAGCCCAGGCCTCAGCCCACCATCAGGGGGTGTCCAAACATATAAAGGCCCTCATCATCGGCACCCCGCCATACGTCAGCCTGCGTTCACCAGTGTCTCCGGCAGATGGGGCAGGGGTGAAGAAGAGTGGGCAAATTCACTCAGTTTCCTACACCTGCCCTTGTGGCTTTCCACAGCGCAGAGCTGCCCAACTGGGCAACTTACTCCCTGACCCCACCTGGTTCAGCCCCTGGTCCTGCAAAGTGAGTTTTCGGATTCCCCAGGCTGGCAGGGCCCCTGTCCTAATCCTAGCCTGACACCTTCGTGATGGAGAAAGGTACTGCAGAGAGGGCTCACCTACTTAACACGGTGGTGGACTACATTTCCCGGCATGCCCTGCAGCCCATGTAACCATGTGACTATGGTGTTGGCCAAGGAAGGTGGGCAGAAGGCACGCGGCCAGAGGCCAGGTCCACGGAAACCTCCTAGGTGACCTTCCCCTTGCACTCATTCCGAATCTGCTGACCACGTGTTGATGCCCCAGGGCAAACCCGGAAGCCCTGTTTGCCCTGGGGTCAGCGTCTCTGCATGAGTTCATTCAGCACAACCTCCAGACCCACCTTCACTTCCACCTGAAGTGAGACACAGCAAGAAAAAATTTTCAGTAGAGTTAAGCCACGGATATTTTGGGGTTTATCTGGTACAGCAGATGGTGTCACCTCAACTAATACAGGCTCTTGATCGAAGGCCCGGCTGGGACAACCCTCTTCCCAGTCACCATCTCTGGGTACAGCAGAAAGGGAGTGGGTAACAGGCAGTTGGGGGGAGAAGCCTGAGGCCAGTGGGCCCTGCCCCTATAGTTCCTCAGCTTCTGGAGCCTAGACACCCCCCCCACACACACCCAGGGCAGAGGGAGAAGGCCGGGGGGCACCCACGTGCCCTCAGCCGACTGGCCCACAGAGCCTTGTGCCCCCATCTCACTGCCATGAATTCTGCAAGGAAGGTGCTGCTGGGGCAGGAGGCTTCTCAGGGCACCATTCTCCTGACAGGCGCCTCTGGCCGGCCCTCAGGACGCCATTGATATTCCTGTCTCGGCCTTAGGACCTGGTTGCCGCCCTCCTCCTTAGGTCGCCTGAGAGTTGGGAGTAGGGATCAGCTGGGGGTGTTCTCAGAGGTGTTGGGGAGCAGGCCAGCCGCCACCTGGTCCTGGTGCCACAGCTGTTCCGCCAGGCCATTGAGCACGTGGGCAATGTCGGCCAGGCCAGCCCGCCCATCTAGCGTGCGCCCATCTGCCAGCCGCCGCCCTGGCACACTCTTCACCCGCAGGAGGGGCAGTTCCCAGGCCTGCCGGAAGGCTGTGAGGTCACGCTCAGGCACATCTGTGTGCATGTACTGGTCAAATCTGGAGGAGGGTCAAGGAGCCTGGCTGGGTGCCTCTGCTTACCGGCCGCCTTAGCCCTCCTCCCTGGGCTGGTGCAGGGGAGGCCCCTGCAGCCTTTAAGATAAAGTCCATGGGGGACGCCTGGTGGCTCAGCAGTTGAGCATCTGTCTTTGGCTTGGAGTGTGATCCTGGGGTTCCGGGATCGAGTCCCGCATCGGGCTCTGTCTGAGGAGCCTGCTTCTCCCTCTGCCTGTGTCTCTGCCTCCCTCTCTGTCTCTCATGAATAAATAAAATCTTAAAAAAAAAAAAAAAAAGATAAAGTCCATGGGACTAGGCCCCACAACTGGGATAGAGGCAGTGTCCCTGATACCCTTGCTCCATGCCTTGCCAAGTGTGGCCTCTGACTGTTCTGGGGGCCACCCAAAGGATACTTGGAGCCGATGACCATCCTGACAACACCAGGGGCTTCTCCTGATACTCGGGCCAGCTGTCCAGGGAGGTCTTCAAAGGAGGCGCGGTCGGTGAAGGAGAAGAGGAAGAGGAAAGCATCTGTTTTCTCCTTGCAAGCCTGGGGATGGAGAGGCTGATGTGAGGCTTGTAACCCAAGGCCCTGAGAAGTCTCAGCTCACTCCTCCCTCCACAGGCCCAGAGCAGGGAGTGACTATCCCAGGGCAGAGCTTGGGCGAGGACCCAGTCCCCCCTGCCAGCTCAGAGCTCACCCACGTGGGGTAGCACCCTCGGCCCATGCCCAAATCTGGCTCCTGCAGAGCAGGCAACAGACAACTAGCTCCTCCCAGACCCTCCCAGGCCCACCTGCCTGCTCACCGGCAGCATGTGATCGAACTTTTTGAGTGCAGACTCCCCACAGTCCCAGAACTCAAAGCGGAACATGACAACACGGTCGCTGACCTGCAGCTTGGCTGGCCAAAATACCACGGTGGTCTGGATGCCTGGGGAGGGTCAGCCATTCAGCATGGGGGAGGCAGAGTGGAGGGGGGTAGGTGGCCAGGAAGAAATAGGAAGAAGACATGTCCCTAGTGGGTCACCAGCCTGACGAAGATACAGTCGCTAACCTCAATCTGATGGAGAAACCGACCTGCCCTAGATGAGCCTCCAGTCCGCTGGGGAGATGCAGCCGTAGCCCTAGCCACGACAAAGCACTTTCACTTGTACGCAGAGGGGGACCCAAAGGTACTGGATACTGGAAGATGTTGCAACCTGATGGCCAATGAGCATCCAGTGGAAGGAAAGAAGAAAGGAAGAGTAGTGCTCCTCGAGCACCTGTCTTGTGTCAGCTCAGTACTACCACTAGTACTTTGGCGTTGGTACTATTATCTCTGTTGAACAGTGTAGGCTCAGAGAAGTGAAGTGACTTTTCAAGGTTGCAGAGTAAATGGTGGGACAAGGGCCAGTCTTTCCTCCACCCCAGGGAAGCCCTCCATGGTTGGACTCACCAGTGGTCTCATGGTGTACCAGGGGTACCTCTAGGCCAGCCAGCTTGGCCACCAGTGCCGTCTTGCCCACGCCACTCTTCCCAGACATGAAGATCTTGTAGCTGGCTGTGTCAATGGCCACGGGTGGGGGCAGCACTGGCCGTTCCAGCAGCCCTGGGTGAGAAGGGAACGGGGTGGGGGTGAGGTGTCAGGAGGTCAACCTGCACTTGCCCCATCAGACCCATCAACTCTTAAGAGCCTTTCAGTGCCAGCCACCCATGGTTTTCTATACTCATTAGGGGCCTGGGACACAAGCAGGATCCCTGGATGAGCTCGGCTAAGAGCACTTGTGCTCTGTGAGCTGCACCAAGGCCCACTCCAGATAACACCAAATTACTTTTAAAGTTTGATGCATGCATGAGGCTGTTTTAATTGATACTATTATCACACGTTCTAGATTTCCCACATGTAGAGGCAAGGCTTTTCATCAGCGTTTCCTCAATGGAGAAATATCGGCACACAGATTCTCAATTACTATAAATAAACTTATTAGAATCAATAGATCAGATCTTTATGAATGCTTTTAATTGAAAAAAAAAAAGAGTCTAAATTAGGATACATCCACAGGGCCTAGGACCTGAAAGTCCTAAGTTGTGGGTTGCCCTCTCATTCTCTGTCTTAAACCTTTCCGGTGCTTTGTTTCTTCTGGCCGGAGCTGAGCTCTCACAGCAGACGCCAGGCCCCCTCTGCTGACCTGTCAGCCCAACCCTGGTTGGCTTCATCCTGGGAAATACGAATGTCTTGTCTTAGAGACAGCAGGATATAGGTGAGGCTTACCTCTATTTAGCAGGCTGGATCTTGGAGAAGTCTGTAAGGGGTAGTGTTGAGGACAAATGGGGCGTCTGTTGTGTAATGTGCCCAGCAGAGGGCCTGGCACCGGGTGAGAACTCAATCAACAGCCTCTCTGGTGACAGTGGTTCTTGGCAGGGTTTGGGCTGTTTCCATGTTCCTGGCTCTGATGATGGAATTAGCTCTAAGGCCTGCGGGGGGGGGGGGGGGGGGCGGCGCCCAGGGATAGGGCTTCCAGGGGTCCCCAAGTGAAAAGCAGGCCCTCGCTGCCCTACTTCTCCCCCCCCCAGGAAACACCAGGTGACACTTGTCACCCGGGGGTGACAGGCCACAGGCACTTACCGAACACCCGTCTGCGGTTCTTGCGCAGGATGCAGGCCAGGTACTCCTTGCCCTCGGCGCTCTCGTGCCAGTCTGGCACAATCACCGAGCCCGGGGCGGGTGGTCTGGCCATGGCTGGGCGCCCCGACTGGGTGAGGAGGCGGCAGGAGGCTGAGTGGGGGATGGGGGAGGGTAACTGCCCGGAGCTGGACCTTGATCCCTCTCAACCTGCTCTCCGACTCTCCCTTGGAGCCCCAGCTCCCTCCCGGCGGGCTGGGGGGTCGGTTATGGGGCCCCCACCCTTACCCATCAGCGCCCTGGGCCCGAGCTCCGTCCACGGTCCTGGGGAGTCACACGATCCCCGTCTCCCTCTTATTACCCAGGAGGTGCAACCCCATAGTCTCTTCTTCCCCACATGCTGCTCCCCGGGGACACTCGCGGCCCTCCCCTCCCAGGTCATCTTGGGCCATGGGGGCGGGGGTGTCGGGCAGCCCTGTTTGTCCTCGGCCTCGGTCCCGACCCCGGGGCCACCCAGCCCTCACCCTCAGCAGGTCCCGTGGGCGAACCCGCCCGGGCGGAGCGGGTCTCTTTAAGAGCGCGGCCTGCCAGGGTCACTTCCGCCCGGCTGGCGTCCGGCTTCGGAGCGCGCCGCGTGCCCGGCCGCCGGCCTTGGGGCGCATGCGCGGAGGCCGTTGTCAGGGAGACGGCGGAGGCGGGGCGGGCTCCCCTCCAGTCAGCCGCCACCGCCGTGCCGCGCCGCCCTGCACCGGCCTCGCCCTGCGGGCCGGGGTCTTCCCCTGCCTTCCCCCGCCTTCCCCGCCTTCCCTCCAAATCCCGTTCCAGCCCCTCCCCCGGGAGCCTCTCTGCGTCTCAGCGCCGGCCGCCGCCTATGCTGGTGCCTCCTGGGGCTTGCTTGCGTACAGCCGCGCTGCGGCTGCGCTTGTGCCCTCCGCTCACCCTGCTCCTCCTGCTCCTGCTGCAGGACCCAGGGCCCAGGGCCCAGAACAGACCCCGCTGCCTTCGCGACTGGGGACACAGCAGCTCAGAGAGGTTAAGGGACTTGCTCAAGCTCTTAAAAAGGAGCCAGAGGCCCACGGGATGGTATCGGGCAGGCATTTATTGTTTTTTATTATTTATTTATCTCATTCGTTCAGCAAGTGATTACCGAGCACCTGCTCGGTGTTCCCCTGTTCCAGGCGCTGGCGCTCCAAAGACGGCCCCGAAGGACTGGCCCCCTGGAGCTGACAATTCAGCACCGAGGTCGTGAGCCCCTTGTCCCCTGTTCCAGCCACCAGCACCCGCCTGTTAGCAGAAGGTGGGCACCTGTGAGTGGGACAGGATGCAGCTGGGTCCTTCCTGAGAGGCTATTACACTTAATTGTCACCAGTATCTTCTTGCAGGAGGCTTCCCTCAGGACAAATCACTATTTTTTTTAAAGGAGTGATCTATAAATTAACCTTTATTGAAGGATAACTGAGTGCCAGACAGCGGGGGCTTTCCAGAGGGGACCTCATTAGGAAGGCTTGTTTTATTACCCCTCTTCTAACAGATGAGGAAATTCGGAGACAACATAATTACCTGAGGTCACATCACACAGCTGGTCAGTGAGAAGAAAACTACACTTGAAACCTGGGGTTCGTGGGGTCTGAACACCTGTCCTGCCAGACTGGGTCTCCTGTTGTTGCTTTTTTTAAACTTTGCCCCCAGCGACTAGGAGGGCTCCTCTTAGTAGTGCTGAAAGCGGCCCGAGGCCATGAACCCACAAATCACTGAGGCCTGTTAAGCCCCAAGAGAGTAGAGGGGAAGCGGCAGCGTGAGACTGGGCGCTTGCTGGCAACCTGCTTCCACCGCAGTCAGGCAGAAACACAACTGAATACCAGCCCTACAGGATCCCGCAGCTTGAAACCCTCGCCCAGCTCCCAGGTGCTCAGCGCCCTTTCCTGCCATTCTTACCGTATCTGCTCTGCCGCATCTGCTGAGTCAGGAGAGGCCACAGTGTGGAGCGCTCTCTCCGTGGACCAGGAGTGCCTCCGTGGCAGGGCTCAGATCTGACTTATCTGAGTTTCCAGACTTCACCGTTTAGCCCTGCCCTGTCTTGGCTCCCAGAGGGCTCAGGGAGCACGTGAGGAAACGAAGCAACTCCACAGAATGAGCTCGCCAGTTCACCTGGAGGCCAGATGTGAAATCTTCTTGGACAGAGAGGGAGGCTGGTGATCAGAGAAGCTAGTGGCCAGAGGTTTTTAGGGGAATCAGCCTTCACTGCCCTTGGGAGCCCATGGAGAGGACACTTCAGTGAGCATCAGGAGCCTGTTCAAACCTGGATTCTTGGGGTCCATCCACCAGGGATTCTGCTGCAGGGGCCAGATGGGTCTATAAGCTTGCACATGGGACAAGAGCACTGGGCGGTTCAGAAGCTGGGTTCTGTGTGGGGCTGCTGGGGCTGCCAAAGCAGAATCCCACAGACTGTGGCTTGAGCAACAGAAATCTCGTTGCTCACAGTTCGGGCAGCTGAAGCCCGAAATCAAGTGCCAGCACGGTTCTGGCTCCTGGCGAGGCCTTTCGTCCTGGCTTGCAGGCAGCCGCCTTCTCTTCACACTGGGGGCTAGAGCTTTAACATATGGATTTTGGTGGGGGGGGGTGTAGAGGGGAGACACACAGTTCGGTCCATGACAGGTCCGCAGGTGGAAACACGGCTGCCGGGCAGGAGGCCACTCAGTGGTGAGAGCCGGGAATGAGGTGATCAGAATTTCATTTTGGAGGATGCTCATGGGCCATTTTGGTCTAGTGAGTTCCATTTTTCTGTTCCCCCTCTGACCATTAAATTGAATGTTCCCCTAAGCAAGATGCTTCTCCTCTTAAGGCCTGAGGTGAAGCAGGTGGACCATCTAAGAGCCCTTCTGGTGTAAAACTTCCTGATTAATCCACTAATTTCTTCATGGTTTGGTCTCGCTCCATCTCCAAATTGATTGAGCACCTTCTGGACAAGGCCTCATAAGGTGTGGAGAGGATTTATCAAGGCAAGGAGGGACAGTCAACCTGCCTGGAGAAGTCCGCGGCCCAGGTGCGCAGGCACAACAGGCCTGAGGACCTCGGGGGCAGAGGTGGGTGGGCCGCCCAAGGAGGCTACGTGGAGAAGGGATGGTCAGATTTACGTTTCTCTTCTTTTGCCTGGACACTGCAGCTGTGTCCTGTAGGGTTTCCCAGCTTGCCTTCTGGAATGTCAGAGGCACCAGAGTAGCCTTTAGGCAACATCAATCCGGCAATGTTACAGCCATGCTTATAGTTTTCCAGTAGTTTCCACTGCCCTCAGAGTAAGATCCAAACCTCATAGCTTCAAGGCCTTCTGTGACTGGCCCATGACCACCTCTCGCTTTCACGGCCACTCTTCCCCTTGCCTACTACACTCCAGGGAAGCTGGCCTTCTGTTCCCACACAGGGCCACTGCACTGTGGTACCCACTACCTGGTGCTCTCTGTATCTCCCCCACTAACTTCCTATGGGAGGAGCTGCTTCACCTGCAGAGGCCTTCCTCCTCCCCCACTGGATGACGTGCCCTTACCCCCTAGGCTCACTCCTTCATGTTGTCTTGCTCTGGATTCTGAAATTGTACTTTTTAAAGTTTTTTTAAAAAAATTTTTTTAAATTTATTTATGATAGAGAGAGAGAGAGAGAGAGAGAGAGGCAGAGACATAGGCAGAGGGAGAAGCAGGCTCCATGCACCAGGAACCCGATATGGGATTCGATCCCAGGTCTCCAGGATCGCGCCCTGAGCCAAAAGCAGGCGCCAAACCGCTGCGCCCCCAGGGATCCCCTTTTTAAAGATTTTTAAGTAAACTCCCCATCCAACATGGGGCTTGAACTTACTATCCCTGAGAGCAAGAGTTGCATGCTCTACCAACTGAGTCAGCCAGGCGCCTCTTGATTCTGAAATTTTAAATTTCTTGTTGGTCTCTCTCACCTAGAACACAAGCTCTGTGAGGATAAGGCCCTTTTTGTTCTCTTTTACCCCTGTAATCAGTCTGCTCGACCTGCAGTAACCCAGTACCAGACTGGGTGGCTTACATAACACAAATGTGTTTTCTTAGTTCTGGAGGCTCAAAATGATAGATCGAGAGTTTGGTAGGGGCGGGAGGAAAGATCAGCTCCAGGCCTCTCTCTGTGGCTTGTAGGTGACCTCTCCTCTCGTCTTCACATTGCCTTCCCTCCGTAGGAGTCTAAATCCAAATTTGCTGTTCTTCCAAGGACGGACAGTCACACTGGATCAGGGCCCACCCTGATGGCCTCGCTTTAACTTAATTACCTCCATAAAGGCCCTATCTCCAAATATGACTACATCCTGAGGTGCTGGGCGTTAGGACTTAAGAATTTTTTTTGGTGGTGGTAGGGGTGATGGAGGGACACAGTTCGGCTCATTATAATCCCCACTAGCTAGTGTATGTCTGACACATAATAAAAGCTCAAGAGAAATGTGTTGGCTGACTGGCTGTGGCTGCAGCGTAGGGAATGGGCTGAAGAGGCTGCGCCTGGAAGGAGCGGTTAGGAAGCTGGGCAAACCACCTGGGCCTGAGTGGGTGAAGACAAGTACTTGTCAAGTATGTACGAGCACTCCCTGTGCCAGGCCAGACGCTGCAAAGACCACTGTGGAGCAGACTGAGATCGAATCACCGGGCAACTGCACTTAGAAGCAGGGCGGTAGGGTAAAGAGGAAGGACGGAATAAAACGTCCAGATCCTGTTTAAATACAAGATTCAGGGCTGGAGCTGCCGAATCATCCCCAGGGAGTTCTTTTTAGCCTGGGATGTGCCAGGCCTGCGCTTGGCAGCAAGGCTGGTGTCCTTGACCTGGACAGCCTCACGCATCACTTCCCTGCTCACAACTCTTTAACGGCCTCCCCTGCACCTAGTCAGGCCCACCCTCCCTCCCCGTGGCCTACAAGGCCCACCTGCACCCTCTGCTTTCACTCACATACTCTAGACACACAAGCCTTGCCTCTGCTCCTTGAATTTGTCAAGTAGGGCCTGCCTCAGGGCCTTTGTTCCTGCTGTTCTGTGTGGCTGCCCTTACATTCAGGTCTCAGCTGAAATGTCACCTCCTCAGAAAGGCCTTCTCTGATGAGCCCGAGCCCATCACACTTTGTCACGCCCCACTTTTAGTTTTCTCATGGTCCTTATTTGGAATGATGTTGCTCAGTTTTTTTTTTTTTTTTTTTTTTGGTGCTCAGCTCTTTATACGTTTGTCCCTTCTCCCTCACTGCCCCCCTGAAATATAAACTCCACAGGAGTGAGTCTGACACACAGCAGCAGTACATGCTCACTTACTGCAGGAGTGGGCGCTGGCCTCCTCCTCCCTTGATCCAGTCAGCCACTGGGGACTGGGTTTTCTCCCTATACATTAAGTGTCCTCTTGGGGTCGCCCGCACCTGGGTCTGGACCCCAATCCTGCCTGCCTTTCATCCTCCTCTCCAATTCATCCTCTAGTTCCGCCCTGTGCATTTGGGTCACACTGATCTTCTCACGGTCGTATCTGGAAGGGCTGG